TTATATTATTTACTCATTAGTATATAAAAATTTATCATTTTATGTTTACGCAATTTTTTGATTTTGAGGCTTACGCCTCAAAATGCCTTGAGGCTTACGCCTCGCCTCACGAACGAAAAACGCCTCAATACCCGATTACGCAATTTTAAACATTGCATATGTCATTGCTACTTTGATATAGTAACTTTATGTTACTACTTCCAAATTTTGGTTGCTCATACTGCCTACCTAGGGTACAAAGTTCAAACAAACTTCCTGGTCCGTAACATCAAAAAGCTTAATTAGAAAATTACAAAGATTGAACTCAACCAATAACCCAATATGAACAAGGTAACTGAAAATTTTTCGTGAAAGAAAATTTGGTGAATTAGTATGAACTTACAATTTGCTGCAATGATGTTGAAAGCACTGCTATGCAGGCGCATACAAAACCTTTGCCATTAACTTTGACATCTGTAACTGTACAAACACCAACACCCACAACCACCACAAAAACAGCCATCTTGACCTCTTTTGAATAGCGCTTGGTATGAAGAATCCATTCCATCACACAGACCACAGGAATCATGCTAAGCTTTGATATCTAAATCATGGTTACAATAATTCTTGTATTAGATTGATATGTTGAATTGAAAAAAGATGAAGCTGAAATGAAATCAGAACCTGGTAAAAGCCAACAGAATTTAGCATTAGGCTCAGGTTCATCCCAGTGATGGATGTGTTGGCAACAATGGAAAACCAGAGAAGCTCCCATAAGGGAACATGCTTTGACGCTGAATATCCGGTGGCGTTTGAAACTAAACCAACCAATGCAGTCACACCAAAGTGCAAACCAGTCAAAGTAGTTGCTGAGATGGAAAAACAATGGGGTTAATCACTGATAATCTAAATCAAAATAGCATCAATAATAAAGAGAAACGAGAATCTTGACGGTTTTCCAGGTGACATGTGAGAAGCCAACCAACATTCCATTTTTTTTTTTGTAAGATTCCAATTTTATTAGAATAGTAGCAAATACTTTACCCAGATCTGCTTGGGATGACCTCAAAGCGAAAGAAAAATAAAAAAAGAGAAATGTAGAAACCTCGTGTAACCTAATAGTCATTTCTAAAAAAATAGAATGGCCATGAAACATCATCGAAAGGCTGGAACATTACAGCCGGAGCAAAAGGAAATCCCAAAATACAGAAAAAAGAATTGGTGGTAAAAATCAGCTGTTAGTTTCCTCTTTCATTTCCTTCATTCTCCTTCAATCCAAACACAGATATAAGACACGCGTAATAGGGAATAAAGAGAGAGAAGAAAGAGTATAGGCAACAACGGATGCAACTCTAAAATATCCAAATTGCAAAAGGAAGAAAGATTTCCACAATGTCCACGGATAGCTTGGAAATATTCAACAATTAGGTTAGCAAGAAAAAGAATCCTTGCAGAAGGCAGAATTACTCGCAGCAGATCTGGGTTGCAAGATCATTCCCAGCAAAAACAGAGAATAGTAGACAGTGAGAGAGAGCAACGCAATTGGTGACTGACAGTACAAGAACTGACCAAACGTGAATGCGTAACCCGTGGTGGACATAAGTTGCTTGTTCGCCATGATTATCCCGACGGAGCTGACAACGTTCATTCCCCACGCCCCCACGTCCGATACCGCCGACGGCTTCTTCTCATCCTGCTGCTTCGTCTTCTCCATCCCTCGCTTCCTCCCAGCGACGACTATGCAAAATTCTACCGCCCTCGTCACCGGAGGCAAAGGATTAACGAGATAGGGAAAGGCAGGCGGAAGAGGATGGTGTAGTAATTGAAAGATATGAAAGGAGGGCAAGAACTTGTCAATCTTTCCGTATTTGTCTCTTTCTAATCGGTTTTTCTGTAATTAATCTTTCAATTCCCTCCTATTTCTCCGGTCTCTTTCGAGTTCTTTCCTTTCTGGTAGAAGCCGATTGCAGAGTTACAGTGGCAAGGAAGGACGAAGATTGCTGAAGCAGGAAAAGAGCTCAGGGTAAGAGAAAAGAAGCGGGTGATAACTTCATAGTTACAGATTTTTTAGGAGTAAAAATTTATGGTTTGGATATCTGTTGATAGGAATTTTTTTTTTTAACTTATTATATATAGATATATATTTTTAGATAAGATGAGCAAAATTTATTAAAATTTATTAAAATATATATTCAATTGATTGTACGTTGGAAGATTCAATGTGGCACGGATAGTTTTAGCATTATACAAAAATTCATACATGTTGATAAGTCAAAATTAGTTTATAGAAGATCGAGAAACTTTATGTGGAATTTGAAAAATAAAAAAGCTATGGGGATTGTCCAAGTTGAAATGATTTTAGTAACATGTGTCGCATGTTACAAATGAAATATTTTCCGACTAAACGTCACCAAAAATCGCTTTGATCCAACACGGATCTTGAGACATATCTTGCATGACAACTTTCAAAATTAAATTTGGGATCATTGGACATCAATTTTAGCAAATTTATAATCAAATTGAACGTCTTAGTGTGACAAATCCAACCATATCAAAATCATTCAAATATGAACCAAAATAGACCTAGATCAAGGGACCGAAACATATTTGAAAACTTTAGAATATTAATTGGATAACCAAATGATATCTAAATATGACAGGCTTGTAGCATAATCAAACGGCGCGGCGAGACAAACCCAACGAGCCTAAAACCGCTTAATTCTCACATCATTTCAACAACAACAACATCAAGCATTTGTTCCACTGCGTGGGGTTGGCTACATGAAGTCTTTTTCTCCATTTGTGTCATGTTAAATTTAATAAAGAAATGTCATTTCTATTATTTTCTAACCAAATCATTTTAGGTCTACCCTACCTTTCTTAAAATAAGTCAAATCTAATACCTCAACTTTCATAATCGGGTCATCGGAAGGCCTCCGTTTAATGTGACCAAACCATCTAAGGTGAGTCTTTCTAATCTTATCTTCCACTGGAGTTACACCAACCTTTTCATGCATATGCTCATTTCGTATCTTATCTCTAAGGGCAAAGTCACTCATCCACCTAAGCATCCTTATCTTTGCAACACTTAACTTAGTATTACGCTTCTCTTTTAATGGCCAACATTTGACACCATAAAGCATTGCAGGTCTCACCACAATCTTATAAAAATTTCCCTTAATTTTGAGGGGGGATTTTCTATCGCACAACAAACCCGATGCATTCCTCAACTTTAACCATCCAACTTGAATTCTGTTGATAATATCCCCATCTATTTCACCGTCACTCTAAACAATAGATCCAAGATTTCAAAAATGTGTACTCTTACTAATGACTTGATCTCCCAAAGTCACAATACCCTCAGTATGTCTATTGTTACTAAAATTACACTCAATATATTCAATTTTAGATCCACTCAAGTGAAAACCTTTAGACTCTAAGGTTGACCTTCATAATTCAAGTTTACCTTCAACTCCCTCTCTAGACTTATCAACAAAGAAGAATATCATCAGCAAAAAACATACACCAAGGTACATCTTCTTGCAAATATCAAGTGAGAACATACATGACTAAAGCAAAAAAGATATGGGCTTAAGACCGATCCTTGATGTAATCCAACTGAAATAGGAAAATACTTAGTCAAACCACCTTGTGTTTGAACACAATTAATATCTCATGGCATATCTTTAATGATTTGAATATAAGCATTATTAACTTATCTCTTTTCAAGAACTCTCCATAGCACTTATCTTGGAACTTTATCATATGCTTTCTCAAAATCAATAATATCATATGTAGATCCTCATTTTCTTTATATTTCACCATCAAACATCTCAATAAATGTATGGCTTCTATAGTAGATCTACCCGACATGAATCTAAATTGATTTTGAGAAACGTTAGTATTACACCACAACCTACGCTCCATAATTCGCCCTATAGTTTTAAAGTATGACACATTAACTTAATTCTTCTATAATTCACACACTTGTGCATCATCTTTATTCTTAAAAATAGAAATTAGCACACTCATTCTCCACTTATCCGTCTTCTTTTTAGTCTTCAAAACAATATTAAAAAGTTTAGTAAGCCACGAAATTCCTTCATCTCATAAGCATTTCTACATATATATTGGAATATCATCATGTCCAACAGCTTTTCCACACTTCATTTTCTTTAAAGCCTCTATAACTTTGATTTTACTAATACATCGATAAAAACAAAAAATATATATTTTTATTTAGGGTGCTAAAGTCACTAAAGTCAATCATATTTTCACATTCTTCATTAAAAAGTTTGGCATAATATCTTTATTGAAGATCATCTTCTAAGAAAATTACTTTTTGATCTTCATCCTTAATACACTTCACTTGAACTAAATCCTTACTACTCCTATATATTTGTTTGGCTAACTTATCCATATATCTTTCTCCCTCCTTAGTATCTACTGTATTATATAAATCATTAAAAGATAAGCTCTTTGTATCACAAATAGGTTTTTTAGATTTCTTACAAGTCTCTTTATAGTTTTCCTAATTATCAGAGTTTTTATTTATAAAAAATTTTTATAACAAATCCTCTTATTTTTTATCTTTTCTTGCACATTTGAATTCAACTACCAACTATTTTTAATATTATGAGTTTTTCCCTTTAAAACTTCAAGCAAATCTTTTGCAATATTCTTAATATCACTAGCCACTTTTTCCCAGATAACATTAATATCTTCATACACAGATAAAATCTTAAGATCTAAAATCATACTCACAAAAATATTTTTTTTTAATATTCTTTAAATGCACCAATCTAATTCTAAAAAATCGTTTTACTTTATTTTTTATTATTTCCCCCTTTATCTTAAATTATAAAACTAATAATCGATGTTGGGTACATAATTTTCACTCAAAATAATTTTATAATTTTTACAATCTAAATGATCTAATTTTCTAATAAGAAAATAATCAATATGCATTTTACTATACCTATTTTTATAAGTGATAAGATGCTCGTCTCTTTTTGTAAAAAAAATATTATCTATTAAAAAAATTTAAGTCAGAGAAAAATCTAATATGATTTTACCACCTTCATTTGTCGTTCTAAACACATGGTCACCATGAATGCTTTTAAAATCATTTACCTCTTTACCAACATATTCATTTACATCTCCTCCAATAAAAACTCTTTTTTTCTAGAGGAATCTTTTGTGTTAATTCTTTTAAATTATTCCAAAATTTTAATTTTGAACTCATATCCGAATCTACTTGAGGAACATAAACACTTATAATTAACAATCTTAGCATCAACAATAATCTTTAAAGTTATAATTTTATTTCTAATTCTATTAATTTTTATAATATTATCCTTCAAACTTTTATCTATAATCACACATATACCATTTCTAGTATGACTTCTACTCGAATAATATATCAATTTCCTTAGCTTTCTCTCCAACCCATTTTGTTTCTTGAATGCATAGAATATTTATCTTCTTATGAATCATAATATTTATTAATTTCATTAATTTTCATGTAAGGAGTCTATATTCTAAGTTCCTATCCTAATTACTACCATAATGATATCATTTCCCATCACTAAGGAATGTATTGATATAATATAATTGTCCTCAAGAGATCATTTGCGGTATATATGATATTTTCTCTTTGAGTAGAGGATGCCAATGATGAAGAAATTTGACATAATCACGATATTAATTGAAAAAGTTGGAGTTGATGTCAATAATATGCATCGGTCTTATTAACAATGATGACGTTCGGTGTTGGTATAAATAACGTGCATCAGTCTTATAAATGATGACATGCATTTGACAGTGAACATCGACCTTATAGGTGATGACATTCGTAAAAGTTGTTGACAATAAAATTAGTATGTGTCAACGATGTGCATTAGCCTTATAAATGACATATATTCAGATGTTTCGTACATTTTCTCAATTTTTTTATTGCAGTCAGCAATGCATGTTTGATCACCTATTTGGATAAATCGAACATTCTAAATCACTTTGGCTGAGTCCAATTTTGTTCAGTTTTACTAAAAAAAGAAAAAAAAAACCATCAATGACCTCTTCTAAGCTATCCAAATAGGCATATTCAATGCAACAAGTTAGCAAATAAAAACAAATCAAATGCCACCATCAAAATCTACAAATATAAATAGATAGAACAATTTGAAGCCAACGGAGTTATTCGCCCATAATCATGACTCCAAAGGCTAGCTGAACAGGATAAGTTTATTATTAAGATGAACAAATTTGAATCTAAAATAATCGTTGTGCTTGAATTCATAGCACATTTTTGTAAATAAATTTGAAAATTATGATGGGTTGAATTGGAATGCTCGGCAACAACAACACCATCAAGTCTTTATCCCACTACGTTTGGAGAGAATATTAGGTGCGGAGTGTGGATGGGGAGAACCATCCGCACAAGCATTGGGTACCTAGCGGTACCCGTACTCGGTACTGCTGGGTACCGCTAGGTACCCAGTGCTTGTGCGAATGGTGCGCACTCCGCACCTAATAATTTTTCCTACGTTGGGTTTGCTACATCAAGCTTTTTTTTTTTCATTGTATACTAGTCAAACTCTCATTTAAATCTAATTGGAATGCTCACCCTATTTATAAAATAAAAAATACCAAACAATCACTAGTTACGTCTTTCCCCTAGGGCTTCTCCAACCAAAAAATCTACTTTCCACTTCAAAATACAATAACAGTTGTATAAAATAGTAATTCATTTCTAACCGAACTCCATTCGTAACACAATTAGAACAAAACTGAGCAGTGGAGTAGGATGCGCCGCTTGACTCATTCGGGACAAAGGAGATGGAAGACGTGCGTCAATATTAGGTTTCAGAATAGTGCGTCGTCAATATTGACGTAACAATATTGTTCACGGCTCAGATAAAATGTAGAAATGAGTTTCCTTCTGCTGTTTGGGTTGACGCTCGTCGGAGCTGCAAACGGGTAAATGACGTTCGGTTGATGATGTCCTAAGTGGAGCTGTCATACCGGGTAAAC